GCGACTCGGTGATACTCCTCCATCCATAGACCTCTACCGGAAGGGCGTGCCGCCTAAACTACCGGTGTCTATATATGTATATATATATATATATATATATATATATATATAATGATCCTGCTTTTTCTGCAATTCTTCCACTTCGATGCATGTTTCCATCATCCACTTTTCCTTAGCCTCTTTTATTTTGTTCCTTATTAATTGTCTTAAAAGTTTTTCTCTGTACTTATTTGGGTTTTTGTTTCTATATTTTCTTCTTTGTTCCATGATTTCCAGTATTTCTTTAGTCATCCAAAGTTTTCGGCTATCTGTTTTCTTTTTTTTTTTTCTTTAGAACGGCATGACAAATCAAAAGGTCATATTTGTAATATAAAATCCTGGATTGAATAAGAAAATTTGTTTCTTCTAAAACAACAACTTATTCATTGAAATGAGAAATTATTAAATATTAATAAAGGCAGAAAAATTATAATTCAGGTTGTTAAATTTTTAGCCGGCCAAAATTTGAATTTTATGGGTGAAAATAACAAGACATAGAAGCAACAAAATAAAAACTTTTTAAAATAAATTTAAAAACTTCAATGATACGATATCTGACTACATTAATATGATTAAAGGGACTCAATCAAATATGCCTCATTATTTAGGTATCCATATTCTAAACGAACTAATTTTCCTCTTAGGAGAGAAAATAAGACATGCCATTATAAATCTATTAAAACTTAGCAAATATTGTTTTATTACGTTAGATTTGACTCGTATTGAAGTTGTGAAGACCAACTTACCATTGTAGTATGCTTTGTTTTATTAAATAATAAATCAAAGCAAATCTAAATTACCGAGCATTCTTGAGGATTCATTTTAATGCCAGATTCGTCAGGATAAGAGTTTTAACCAATGTTTTATTAGGTATTTTGAAGACTCACATTTGTTTAGGGGATTTAAAAGGACAGATCTACAATAATGTGCCAATATGAAGGTTCTCAATTATGGGTATCAAAAAACGTAGAATTAAACCCAAAGCCTTTTACGTGCCTTGTGCAGATAGGGTAAATTTAGTAATTAATGACGCTGCAAAAACGTCTTTAGTATCTAATATTTTTAAAACGTTTGCCTTAAATAAGGCTAGAAAAGCAGACTGTATTAATATTTATGTATGTATTCCATTTATATGAAACATTACAAATTATGTAAAATTATGTTATATTAAATAAACTCTGTATCATTTTTACAATTTTGTTTTTTAACGTAAAATTAGTTTAACTTTTAGTTTTACAAATGCTTGTAAACTTTCTGTGATGTTGGGTTTGGGAAGAGCGGCCAAATTACTCTTGCACGCGGACGACAGATACCCTAAGAACGGCCATAAAATTAGGAAGGGATGAATGTTTAAGTGAGTTTTATTAAATCGGCATAAATAAAATCAATATAAAACTTATATTTTATTTAAATATAAATATTTACAAAATCTATAAATACATTATACAAATATTTTATATAAAATCATTATTTACTCTCACTACATATTGACAAACACACTTTTCGATACATCACCTTTTTGAATATAAATAATTTTATCATTAAAAAAAAATAAAATCAAAAGTATAGTGTGTCTTAAACTTTTGAAAAAATACAAGAAAACAGCAAGAATAAGGAATGGGTGTACTATGCTGCGTATTTTCGCAATTATATAAGTATATTATAAAAACAGGAGATAGAAGTAGCAAAAACATGAAAATAAGGTTTAAATTAAAATTAAGTTTAAAAAGAAAAGTAAAGAAGAATACAGCTAGTAGAAGAAAAGGGAAAATGCAACTGCTTGATTTTTTCGATTTTTTTGAAAAGCGATAACGAAGAAGAATTAAATAAATGAATTTAAAGATAATCGATCAAAAATAATTAATTCGTTAAGATGATGTAGAATAAAAATATTTTTTATAACGAAAATTATATAGAACGATATAAGTTGTTTTGTTATATCTGAATAAAAAGACAGCAAAACATCAAACATTTAAAAACCATTTCTAAAATAAAACTTAAAAGTATATAAACAAAATCTAGTGTATCTGATATAAATTTCTAGCCACTAAAATATAAATACCTATGTAACATGGGAAATAAATGATAAATCAATATCGAAACCATACGGTGCTCTATTTTTCCATTTATAAAACAAATAAATAAGCTCTTGAAAATATTTCTCCTTTTATTTTGAATAACAGCAGTGCTGAAATTACTCGTTGACATTTTTTTATCTTCATAAATAAATGTCCAAGATCAGACATAAATTCACTTTCGTGTTTACTAGAAATTACTAGGATTACTACTAGAATTACTACTATTAGTAATTATACATTTCTATAAATTCAGAATCTGAGATAACTACGTGGTACTTTTACATACAGAGATGTTTATATTTTGCGCACACTTGATACTTCTATCTTGTATTAACTTTCTTTGCAAAGTATATATATATATATATATATATATATATATATATATATATATATATAGCTTTATGGATTTTCTTGAACCATACTCTATTTAATATAAAATTAGTATTTTTTGGGTTTAGGTTCAATAAGTAACACAACAAACTCCAAAACTCAAAAAATTAAAAATATTGTTTACGAGATACCATGAAGTTGTCTATATTTGGTAAACCAGTCATCTGATTTAATCCAGAATTCGTTCTCACAAATATGACAAGAATAACATCACTGCGTTCACAAAACAAGAAAATGAAAAGAAGCATAAATTTAACTTCTAAAACATCAAAATTTAAAAAACCGAGCTAAACAAATGGAAAAAGGAGATACGAAAAAATAGAAATAAAAAGAAATACCAACGCAATCAATGACAAAAAAGATACACAGAACCCAAATAAAATATATTTTAATCTTGTTTAAGGAATAATAAATATAACACCATTAAAGACTCTTAAAGTTATAACATATCTCCACTTTACCTTTTTTAAAAACACCAACGATACGTCCATATATAAATAATTATATATTAATGACAGGACAAGCAATCAGAGCTAACAGAGAAAATCAAACAGCCGAAATATCGAGACGAGTAAGAATGGGATGGGCAGCGTTCGGCAAACTTTCTTACGTTCTAAAAAATCAAACAATCCCTCTATACTTACGAAGCAAGGTATATAACTCCTGTATAATACCGGTGCTCACCTACGGAGCACAGACATGAACATTTACACAGGCCAATTTGGATAGGATAAGGAAGGCACAAAGAGCGATGGAGAGACAAATGTTGGCTGTATCACTTATAGATAGAAAACGTAACCAGTGGATCAGAGCCAGAACAAAAACAGTAGACGCGATAGAACAAGCAGCAAAACTGAAATGTAAATGGGCTGGACACAATGAACGTCTCCAAGACGGACGATGGAACAATGCCATCGGAAAGTGAAAGAAAGTGAAAGAAACAAGGAGGTCCCACATGGCAGAGAACAGCTCAAGATAGGGAAAGATGGAGAGAACTGGGGGAGACTATATCCAGCAATGGAAAGATAGAGAATAGGTTCAAAAAAATATTAATGACAGTAAACCATGAAATATCAGATATGAATTTTTACTTCTATCAATGCATTAATGTCAGTGTTACGTTTTACGTTTTGGTAAGTTCTTCATATATTTTATAATAACTTTTTGTTTTTAATCTTGTACATTTTAGAATTATGACAATGGCAAGGGTTTCCTGCTGAAACGTTGATTTCATGGCACAATAAAATATAGTTCCAAATTTACTATTACTTATTGAACTTAAACCCAAGAATATATATATATATATATATATATATTATATATATATATATATATTATATATATATATATATATATATATATGTATATATATATATATATGTATATATATATATATATATATATAATATATATATATATATATATATATATATATATATATAGGGATCACTCAGACGAGTGGTGGGTTCTTATATCGGTCTCTAGGTGGAGAAATAAAAGACAAAGTTGATAGGCTACTTTATCTATTTTGAAGACGTTTCGCTTTCGAGTTTTGAAAGCATCATCAGTTCATCTTAAAAAGATATGTAGCAGTCAATGTTATTAACAAACATGTGAATGAAACTAAGTAAATGGACATAATACGCTGATCTTGTATAAACAGTTAAGCAACTAACAACATATATGAACTTATAAAAAATTAGCACAGCAATTGACCATGTGGTCTAAAGTAAATTCAATGTTATTTAATGTTAATAAGTGAGTAAGAACCAAGAAAATCATAGATCTTCCAACTATTTAATGGATATTAAGCTTTGATTTTAACTTTAGGTAGCATTATAAGTGATATTAATAAAATTTTAAAAAGTAGTAAAAATGAAGTTACCGATCAAAGCCCTATGAATGTCGCCGAGAAAATCATTTTCACTTATAATGCTACCTAAAGTTAAAATCAAAGCTTAATATCCATTAAATAGTTGGAAGTTATCTATGATTTTCTTGGTTCTTACTCACTTATTAACATTAAATAACATTGAATTTACTTTAGACCACATGGTCAATTGCTGTGCTAACTTTTTATAAGTTCATATATGTTGTTAGTTGCTTAACTGTTTATACAAGATCAGCGTATTATGTCCATTTACTTAGTTTCATTCACATGTTTGTTAATAACATTGACTGCTACATATCTTTTTAAGATGAACTGATGATGCTTTCAAAACTCGAAAGCGAAACGTCTTCAAAATAGATAAAGTAGCCTATCAACTTTGTCTTTTATTTCTCCACCTAGAGACCGATATAAGAACCCACCACTCGTCTGAGTGATCCTTATATATATATATATATATATATATATATATATAATATATATCTATATATATATATATATATATATTATATATATATATATACTTATAATATATATATAGTATTATATTATATATATATATGTTTGATAGTATATACATATATATATATCTTATAGATTATATAATAGAACAAATGCTTACTAGATATACAATTTTTCAATTAGATATTTCTAAATATTTAACGCTTTGCCTTCTTTTAACTAAAACAAAATATAATATTAATTTATCAGATACAGTCTGAATACTCCCACGCAATCTAATTTAAATTAACTTGGAGGAGGTGCTGGAGTAAATTGTGAACAGCTTTCTACGTTTTCTGGCCAATCACAAACATTTTGGTCAGGATTGAAAACTAGATTTGCCGGACAAGGCATATGGTGTTTCCTTTCACCTTCACACATGTAGTACATCTTGCAGTCTGCTTTGTCAGGATGGTAACTAATATGGCCTTCTTCCTCTTCGCATGTTACTTCGTTTGCTATAAAATAAGATATATATTGTTACCAATAATTTATCTATAGGCTTAAAGAATAGGATGGTTCATATATCAATGGCTAGGAGGACACATATTAATATGTCCAAAATTGATGTTTTTGGTAAAATAAATTTAAAAGTTTGCGTTAACCGTGACAAATCGGACATCTTATAAAATAATGAAATTACAGTTAAGTTCGACCATTCTTATACGTTTTATTCAGTTCTATTTGTATTAGAGTTAAATGTTATTCACATTTAACAAGCTTAAAGTAATCCCTTATGGACATATAATAAATGTGAAGCAGTATATGGACAAACACTATATTATTTCCATACTCCAGTTGTGAGAATATCATAAAATCAATTTTAAAATAGTGCTGGTAGTATTATACCAATGAAATTTTTATTAACGGAACAAATATGCATACAGTCAAATACAAATAAACCTCTTAGTATGTTTCGTATCCAAAATCACTTGAAACAATATCTTTAGCCTCTACGGATAAAAGTAATATCTCTACAAAGTTTCTGTAGTCTTCTGGAAATAACTTCTCGTGTAAAAGACACCTTTTTTGCATTAGGTTTTGGCAAAATACTGCTATATTGTTGCTCAAAATGTACATCATCATGTACAACATCATGAATATTTTCACACGATTTACATGTTTTCGTTCGTTTACTAGTGTCTATGCCGCATATGTTCAAGTTTAAGAAATCGTTACTTGCAAAATTATACTTAAACAAACTGGACATTTGTCTTTATGAAGAGTAACCATTTAATTTCTAGCCATTTCACTCGATTTGCGTTGCTGTTACAGCTAGTATTTCCCATAATTTTAGACGCTAACTTTTTAAAATTATAGAAATCACAGCATGATTGATGGTTAACTTTGTAGGGACGAGGTTTCAGCCTTAATATGTGTAATAAAATACCACATTCGTGGAGGAGTTCACTTTTTACTTCTAAGTATGTAGGTCCTGGTTCCTAATATTTTAGATCTATTATTTGAAGATTATCTATTTTAGCAATAGTATAGCAAGAGTTGAGAATGATGGTGGCATTACCTTTGTCGGCTGAAAGGATGACAATGTCAGGGTTGTTATAAAAGTTGTTTTTTGGGGGCATGTCTTTCTGAAATACTGATATTTGCTGGTGGGAGTTTGGAAGTACCAAAAATTTTGGTGACATCTTTTCTGGTAACTTCGGCTTGGTTGAAAGAAAGAGAAAAAAAAGCTTCTTCAGTATGACAAATTTTTTTAAGTTGGGATGGAAAGAGGAGTGACATAAAAATTAAAGCCTTTTTACAGAGATTTGGTAGCTAAATCAAATATTTGAATATCTGAGAAATTGCGTACAACAGAAAAAGAATGTTGATTAGAAAGAAGCAGTGAATTTTGCTGACAGATAAGTTGGTCCAGTTTGCGTTTCCAGGATGCGATACAATATCTTGTATCCAGCAGAGCAACAACTCTGTAATTTTCACATGCCGATCCATAATCTTCTCGATATCTTTGTCGAATAACGGTCGAATCCATTACTTACTTAAAAGAAGTCAGTAGAGGACTTTTGATAATATTATTTTCAAGAGTGCTTTTGAAACATAGACTTGCGACACAAAACATCTGGGTTTTAAACATGTGTCTGCAAAATAAAGGGTAATTATTCGTCTTTGCAAATCTGGTTCATACCATCGTTATTATTTGTTAGTGCCAATTGTCTTAATCTTTTCTTTTCCTGAAAAATGTGGAAAATGGAATCTGGAAAGAGCCTTGCATAAAGATAAAAAAAGAAGGTGGAAGAAATGAGGAACGAAAAAAATTTACGAGAAACGCGAGAAGTGGTTATTCCAAATTATAGCGACATTAAGATCAAATTTGACGGGGACGTGGGAAAACAACATCCAGTGACTTTCATTAGGATTATTAAAAATAAATTTTAGCACACAGGTAATTTTAAAGATTGCAACGAATCTATAAGAAATTATTTAAATGATGTAGCATCTCTGTGGTTTGAAAGCATGGAAAATACATAGTATCGTGGATGGAACATTATTATTCGCAAGAACAATTGGTGAATTTAATAGCGCGTCATTTTGATAAAGCCAGGATAATCATGTGGGGCTACACAACTAACATAATACAGACAGCCTATGCCAATTTTTGTAGGTGCGGGAAGCAAGTAGAAAAGAGAGAAATAAGCAGAAAAGTCCAAAATTCTAGAACAATAACCAATTTAATAGACCCCAAAGACAATTTCATATAATTTCGGATTAAATAGATTCAGGGATAATCAAGAATATCACAGGCAAAATAGAAAATAGAAAATCACCATAACAATAATAGAAGCGGACAATATCATTATAACAAAAAATAGACCCCAAAGAAGAGAGATAAATCACATAACAATGGAACTAAATATGAAAAGGAAGAGGAAATCAGAAATGATATGCAAGTAGACAACAAATGTCAGGGTTTTCTTTTCTTGGATTAAAAGTTTCGTCTTAATATGAAAATCAGCGGACAGAAGAAGTAAAAGAGACAATTAATTTAGAAAATTGCAGACATAAGAATTGGAAAAAAGAGCATATTTTGAAAGCGAATATGTAAAGGAAGAGATAGAAAAGGTGATTATTTTGGATGAAATAAAAGAAGAAGATTATTTTGAAGTGAATATGTATTATTATTTGGATACAAAAGGGACAGAAATAGTATACGGGGAAGGAATGGATGATGAAATAAAAAGCTTGTTATCGAATTATAAAGAATTAATCAATGAAAATGACGAAAATATAAACATACTTTAATAAAGAAATATAAACATTTTTTCTGTAAAATAGATTTAAAACATAATTTTTGGCTAATTCCACTTGCGGAAATTTGTAGAGATTAAACAGCGTTTTTCATCGACAAGATAGTTTATCGATTTAGAGTATTTAGTACCTTATGGTTTACAGATTGCATGTGCAGCTTTAGCTCGTGCATTACATAATATCTTAAATAAACATGGAGACTTTGTAGTACATTATATTGATGATCTGTATTTTGTTCACCTAATGTTGAAGGTCATCTCAAACATATTAAAATTGTACTCTAAGAATTGGATATGCCCAGATTGCCCAGTTTAAAATTAAATATAGAAACATATAAATTCCTTTAAAGAGAGGTCATCGATTTAAAATTTAAACTGGATCGACATGGGATAAATTTGGCAAAAGATCGGATACAGGTTATTAAAGATTATCCTTGGCCAAATTGGATTCTAAATCATTTCAAAAAGCTCACCCCGGACATCAGTGAAAAGAAATTAGCAATAAGTAGTATTTTAAAGAAAAATAATAAATAGAAATGGGGTGAAGAACACGAATTGATTTAAAACAGGAATTGGCGAGTGCAGTGATAATATATCATCCTATTTACACATTGCCTTTTATCGTAAGAACTAATGCTGCGATACATAAATTTGCAGTTTTGTCACAAGTACAGGAAGGCAAAGAGGTACCGGTACGTATCGTTTCCAGAATATGGAATTACGGTGTTACAGAATTAGAATTTGCAAGTGTACTTTTCTCTATAAATAAATTAAAATTTTATTTATTCAGTTACACGTACGGGAAAAGTTTTTTACTTAAAGGAAAATCAAAGGCGGTCAAGTTGCTATGATCTTCAATTAATGTAAAATAAATAATAAAATATAGAGAAAAACAACTTATAAATAAAACAAATAAAATAGAATAATTTATAAAATTTTGTGTTAGTTATACATGTACATATGGTTTATTTTGTGTTTGTGTGAAGTGTTACTGATTTTTTTTTTAGATTTTAGAAGTATTGTGACTTCGGACTTTACGAATTATATAAATTAGTATATTTAAGATTTTAGTTTTACCTAATGCCAATGAAAAGAATATATTCTAATGTAATAACATAATAGGAAATCAGTTAACCTATTGTTTTTTAAGGATTAATTTTTGTTATCAACAATACAGATCATCACAAGTAGAAAATTTCTTTTGACACGTATGTTTTATACAAATTTTTGGAATTTGAAAGTTGATTTTTGAGTAGTGGCTTTTTGTTTTAGATGGGAAACAGAGAACGGTTTAATTGGTTAAAAAAAATATGAAAGGGTTTAGAAGTTGGAGGAAATGTTTGCAAGCTGAAAGGATTTCGATCTGCTGTTTGACTTTAAGCGAGAGAACAATAAAATCCAGGAGAAGAAATAATAGTTTCCGGTAGTTTTTTTAACGGTGGAAGAAAATTTTAATTTGTGAGAAATCGTGTAAATAAAAATGAGAATAGTGGCACTGATTGAATTCTGAAATGGAAGAATTGGCAGTATAACCAGAAATGAAATCTAATAACCAGAAAAAAAATGAAATCGTTTTTAGATTCTATAATTTGTTTGGTTTATATAGGATCGGGGCAGTCTGTAGAAGGAGTTTCATAAACTCCGTGTTGTTTATTTGGAATGCTGTCTTTGATTAATCGGACAAAAGATGACAGATTTTGTATATTATTCAGATGGGTTGGAAAAGACACCAAAGTATCCCTATCATGGGCCAAATGACGAATATATTGTCAACCTATCATAGCCAACATGTGGCTTTGAGCATTGATGTGGATATTGCTCGAGTCTAGAAAACTTCCATAAAGATATTAGCAATTACTGGAGATAGTGGAGAGCCATAAAGCTATTATCTTGTGGCATTAAGACAATATTTATTTGTTTGTAGAATTGATTTTGGAATATAAAAAAAGTGTTGGTCATAGACTGTTTAATGATAGACCAGCAAGTGGTCTTGCTGTATACTGTATTTAGTTTTTAGAATGTTTAGAGTTTCGTCTATAAAAATGTTTGTAAAAATTGAAACTATCGAAACTTACTAGAATATCTAACGCTGAGATAGGGTAGTTTTTAAGCAGTTCGATAGAATGAAAATAATTTTTGACAAAGGATGAAGCACTTTCGTAGACAGGTTTTAGAGTTTTGGCCAAGTACTT